TTAAGTCTATCATCCTTAGCCAAATTTGATGGAAATGTTTATTAAAACACTTCCTCTTACGACGACGACAAGAGTATCAAGATTAATGGCAATAACATTGGAAACAGTTTGCCAGTACTTAATAAAAGAGGACTAGAAGGAAACTTTTATAATATTTTACAGTCAAAAAGATAATAAATGGTTCATGAAATGTTGACTAAAAAAATCAAACATTTACGTTAACAAATTAAAAAAAAAAAAAATGTTCTTTTGTATTCAAAAATTTATTGTATTTGCAGTGCTGCCCTATAGTTAATGCTTAAAAACATTAAGTTTATATTCATCATTGTTCCAATAAAAGAAATTATTCTAAGTTCGAACTCCTTATAACCAAAGCAAACTGAAGGCCGTAACATTTATGTTCTGATTATAAACTGTTGTAAAAAATATTGAGCATCCGTTTTTTATTTATGTTAAGAGCTTGCGCATTAAATAAGCGAACTTTAGTTGAAGAGAATGTAAAAAAGAGATATTTTGACATTTGGCATAAGAGAGAGAAAGGCAACTTAACACTGAAAGAAATAACACAGAATTAAATTGATATTAAACAATAATTTTAAGCATACTTTTCTGCTTAATTTCTAAATAATTTTATTGCCTGCTTTTAGATGTTGGTTTGAAATAAAGTCTGTTTTTCATTTTATATTTCATAATAAATATTTAAGCGAGACATGATAAAATATTTAATTGACTGGAACTAACGAATAAATAAAACAAATAAGCGATCCGAAATAATGGTACAAAAAGTTTGTTCGTCCGTTGTCCGTTTGTCCGTAAGAATTATGGACGTGGCTAATCTGATTTTTTATCTACCAAGCGAGCATGTCCGATATATGAAATGTTTTTAAAGGAAGGAAGTAGATGCATCGAATACCATTTAAAGGACTTATATTTTTAAATGACATGAATAGGAGAATCGCTGCAAACGTATCTGTTCGCCTGCTCGTCGATTGGAACTGGTGTTAGAATCTTTATATTGGTTCTAATATTCAATAAAATAGAATTTCATACTGATTAAAATAGAATTTTTTTAATCCAGGAAATAACTCCAGCGATATACCTTATTGGTGTTACTTGGTGGTGATCAGAAATGAATGAAGAAAAGGAAAGAGGCAGGGAGACAGCCACAGCCCAGTGAACGTGTGCCCATTTGATAAGTGTTACTTACTGAGCATTCACTATAGCTTTGATCAAAGCAAATTCTACCGCACTGAGACTTGAACTCGCAAGCAACTGATTTAATAGTCGAGAGTCCTCCTTACTTCACTACTCTCGCGGATAGGATTAAACAAGAACTGACAACTACATCCTTTTTTTTCTTAGATTGTAAGTTCGAAACTTTTTTCAGAATGTTACATTCTCTATAAATCTATAAAGCCTATATCACTTGTGATACAAAGGTGTATTATGCCATTACACAGAAGGACTTCAGAAGGACCCATCATTTATTTTACCCATCGAGCCAGAATCGGTTTCTGATTTCAATTAAGTGTGTCCGTTCGCATGCCCGATTTGCTGTTTTTATTTAACCCACTACTGGCCACAATTTTTTGGATATTTGGATAAAATTTTATGCACTGACGTGTTAGTGATAGTAAGGATCGGACCAACTTTTCGACCACTTCCCACATAACGCTTTATTTTGAAACATTGTTATATGAATAACTGTAGGGCGGAGTAGGGTATAGGGTTTTTAATTTTTTCTATTAGAGTTTTCAGAAAGGAAAAAAGCTCACTTTCGGCTGCAACATTCGCCCGCATTTTCCAAAATATATATATGCAGTTACCTACAAAATGTTGCCCTGTATAATGAAATGATTATTTAAAATACCTACGATGCGATATCTTCCGATTTAGAGAATTTGCGTTCCATCTTACAATTACATAACATACAAATGAAAGGAAATTCGCTCCAAGCTTATTATTACCATCGTTATCAGCATAGTTTACTTATGCTAAAGAAATAGATTCCTCAACTAAAGTAAGATGAGCATTGGTACCAAAGACTATTGGCTCTGTTTTTTTCAAAACAGCAAATTGTTAGTCTGCCTTTTTTAATAAAGTGAAACATTCTCCACCTAGTTGCAGGGTGTGTATAGGATGAATTGTTCTAAATGCGAATTTTCGCAGTAATCTAACTTTCTGTTTTCGTAATTTACATACAATATAAACATTACTCTATGCAATCTAAGGTGTATCGTTGGTTTAACGTGTTAAGTTTTGCTGAATGTTAAAAAATTCGTCTCAAGCGTAATAAAAAATACTTTTTTTTTAGGATTATTTAGTCATTATTATTGACAAAACATGAAGCTAATGACATTTAAGTCAATGAAATCTGTTGGCAACACAAACATGCAATGAAAGCAAAATTACATTTTCGTTTAAAGTAGAAAGACATAATTTGCGGTATTCACTTTCAGTTGAGCTCTTATATATATATATATATATCGATTAAAACAATTTTTAAAGAAATAAAATAATAAGAAAAGAACTTACCTCGCGAGGTTGGATGATTCATTAATATTGATAAGGGGCATTCATCATCATCCAATATATACTCTGAACCATCGCTATTGACCTAAAAAAAAAAAAAAAAAAAATTATAAGAAATTAAATGATAAATTAAAAGTAAAATCAAAAATAATTTTTATAAGATGTTAAAAGATGTCAAACCTGAACTAAACAGTAGTGTAACGGATCCGCTTTCTCTAAACCATATTTCGTTAACATCTCTCTTACTACGGCCTGAGCACAATCGCGTATTGATAATAGCAGGGTTTTATAAGGCACATCTTGACATAGGCTTTCACCGTATATTTTTAACGTTCCACCGGTATCTGGTCCACCATCTCGTGAACGAAATTGTTGTAATTTTTTTTCTAATTTTTGCTGACGCCGTCGACGCATAACTGCCTCAGGATTCGAAATGGAACGAGTAAATGAAGTTTCAGGTAATTCCGTATAAAGTTTGCCAGCGACTTGATTTTCACCTTCAGCTCCATTGGTATGACCATGTAAACCATTAGTACCGCCTCCCGGTATATGGGAGGGGCCATTCGATGTCCCATCTGAATTAAGTTTAGCTAATTTATTCTTTTTCTTTTGCTCTTTCTTCTCTCGTTTCGATAATTTTCTCTTAAAATTGATATCATTATGTTCAATCGGCTTAAAAGAGAAATATTAGGAAGAAAAAAAAAAGAATATATATATATATGTATATAAATTGAATTAAGTTTCTTACCGTTGTTTTTTGATCAATATTCTTTAATAAAAATCTACCTTCACGATCATCGATATGCCAATTCAATTGAACTAATAATGGTTTCTCATCCGGATTTAAACGACGCTCTTCACCATTCGCATGAACTTCATATAAAGCGTAATTGGGTACGGACAGCATGCGCATGTCTGGACGGAATTTCTCAATAAGCGTATCTTAAAAAAAAAAAAAAAGTAAGAAAATTAAATTCGGTCGGGATCGAATCTTTTATACCCATCACCGTTATCCTAAAAAAAATAAAAGAAGTAAAAGAACTACATTTCATGCTTTCTAATACGGAGTGGATGCAGGTGGTGTTGAAAAGCCTAGGTCAAGTCCAAATTGTTTTGCAAATTTGTAGGCGATAATTTCATTTTCGCTTATGGGAGAACAACAAAGTTACGCAAACAGACAGATGGACAGACGAATCCGCGGACATGATTAGGTGCGTTTCAAATTTGAAACTGACAAAGAATTTATATACTTTAGGGGAAGCTTTTTCCTGCGTGTTATCAAGGCGTTGAAGAAAAAATAAAATTTTGATACACTACAATATTGGGTAGGCATGGTCAATATTTTCCCTTTTCCTACACAAGTACTACAGCGTCGCCCATAGAATATGTTTTCAAATTTTTGTACATTTATTTCCTACAGTTTATAAGTCATAAGTAAAATTCCCCTTGAAAAACATTGGTGTTCTTAAGATATGTGGTGCTGTAGGCGTGTCGTTTGACCGATTTGGCCTATTTTCAATACCAATCTGCGCGTAGGAACTACCAATGTTACTGCCAAATCTGAAGTTGACAGCTTCATTTTTAAAGCCAGAAATGCTCACAACAGACATTACACAAATGGACAGAAATACAGACGCACAAGCGGACATGATTAAATCGATGCTGATGAAGAATATATATATGTACATTGTGGGGTCTCTGATGCTTCCTTTGTGGGCTTTGCAAACGTTTTGACAAAATGAATATACCTCTCATTGTTCGATGATGGATATAAAAATAGTAAGCAAAATAAGCATAAGAGGCGCACGTAAAAAAATATTGTAATAAAAGATGATTAAAGGCATAAATTATATCTAAACACGTACCAATGACGTCTGTAACAGTAGCATCTGAGGCAACACGTATACATTTGGTGGCAACCTTTTGACCGGCATCTTGAAAATAAAAACGCATAACACCATGGAATAGTAGATTCTGAAATGAAATTGAAATTGAAGTGATAATGAATTTCAATTATTTGCATCAAACTTACCTCATCTGGTTCGGAGAGGGCAAACAAATCTAAACGATTTGCATTCCATTGTTGTATAACAGAGCGTACAGCTTCACGATCCAACATTTTTCTATCATGGGACATTCCTATCTTCAACGTTGCGATGTTTTGAATTAACTTTTTCTTATTATTTTTATAATGTTGCTTGTTTTTTTTTTTTTTCTTTTTTTTTAATAAATATTTGCTTTCCGTGTTCAAATGTATGGATGCAATCTGCAATGTTAGAGAGAGAGAGAGAGACAGAGAGAGAGAGAAAGTATAAAAGTTATGAATTAGACAAATATATCGCTGATATTTTCAACTCGAAGAAAAAACATAATTAAAATTTTATTTTACAACATTTACATACATATATGGACATTATAATGCTTATATGCTTTTTTACATAAATATATAAAATATCGTGCATTCGTATTCAACTTCCGTTTGTCGTGTTTAGCACGCATTATTATTTGTTTTTGTTGTTCTTGTTGGCCCATAAAGCACGCATCGTGCATTTTTAATGTACAAGGAATACATCAAGTTTAACGTATGCGGTTTCCCGTTCAAAGTTAATGTATTTTTTTTTGTTTTGTTTTTCTTTTTCGGTGAAAAGAAAACAATTTTAATTTTAGATTTCATGCATTGGTATATAAAAAATTTTTTTTTTTTTTTTTTTTTTTGTTAATCAGTTTATGAAGATTTACAATTTTTATATGCGTACACGACTTGTGCAAGGGTGCAAGGGCATATTAATTTTGTGCGGATGTATGTAACATCCAAAAGAACTTGAGATAGATCGACAATATCACTTTCTACATTAATTTAAGCATGTCTGTCCGCTTGCCTGTCCAGATTTCTTGTGCTCAACAGAACGATTTTAATGATTTTTGGTACATTGATGTGCTTTTCGGTTCGGATCAAACCAATTTCCGTATACCCTAGTGTTGTAAAGTCATTATATGAATAACTGTAAATATTTAATAGTGGTCCGTAGTCTACTATGGTGTATTTTTAATTGTTTTCTTCTTCTTTTCCTTCTTATTCTTTGCTTTCAATTCTAACTATTTGTACTTTTAGCAAATATTTATAATATATATATATATATGTATATATATATTCTATTGTAAAAAATACTCTTTGGGAAGTAAAATAAGAAATTTTAAAATAACGGAATTGTGTGGTTGTGAGTTAATTAAAATAACTTTAAAATATACTGTTCTTTCATTAAAATAAACGCTGTGTATAAATTTCCATAGAAATAAAAGGCATTTCTTTTATATATATATACATATATATACATATACGGCGTTTATACATAACTACGTGCGAAAATTCCAACAGATGTTCGCAATTGTTTTTCCAACTCGCACAAGTGGTAAATATGTAAAGTACTGCACATTGAGTGAAAGCTGAAATTAATGCTAAACTTTTAAGGAATTCCTGGCCTATGCGAAAATTAATTAGATTACGAAAATAAAGAACTTGTCTTTCCTCTTTTTTTTTTGATATTCGAAAACGATATAGGATAGGATATGGGGAGATGTTTCTTGCTCGTCTCTTGACAGAATCTGGATGAAACGGTATCGGAGATGCTCATGCTTCTCAGCTGATACCTGATGAAACTGTGACTCATGTGATCGGTCAATAATTTCCGGGGATAAGTAGGAAAAAATTAAGTCTAATACTTCTTTAACATCTCGTTCTTCATCAGGATCCTCAAAACACACTCTAACAATAATTTCATCATTTTATTCAAATCTTTTCTGGAAGCATACTTTGTGAGGCAAGCGATCGCCAGCGTTCAAGTCTGGAAAATACCGTATTTATATGTAGATCAATCGATGCAATTTTTGCCACCGCTTGAGGCTTGACACGTTCTAAAGATGTGATGCCAGCCCAGAGAATTGCTGAATAATATTTTAAGGATCATGTGTAGATTTAATGACGGAAGAGTTTTTTTGACTTTACAGTAAACATCTTTTGATTGAAGTATTAACGCATTAGTTGGCTGAAATCGGCTTTTTGAACACTATAGAAATTCAACATAACCTCAACATTAATTAATCAGCTGCTAAGCAGTTTTTTAAGTTTGTCTTCTTTTATACCCTATTTCACATGCGGTGTATGCCTATGTCTAGTTTGTGTAGATGCGTACAATACGCAGAGGAATCGACCTTTTATTAAATCGAAAATGATTCTAAATCGATCTATGCTTGTCTGTCCGTCGGACCGTTTTGTTGACTTGCTTTCTTTTGTTCAATCTACAAGTACGCAACTTTTAAGATATTTTGATGTAATTCGGTATATGTGTTGGGCAAAAAACAAACGATATTGGAAACCATTCGGATCCAACTACTTCTTCGACCATTTCCCACATAATAGCTTATTTTGAAAACCCGTTATATGAGTAACTGTATTAAGTGAAGTAGTGTAGAATGTTTAATAGTGGGCCGTGTCCCACTACAGTGTTTTTACTTGTGTTTCTATTGGGTTTTTGCATAAAAACAACCAATTTTATTAGAAATATCACAAAGAAAGCATATAAAGCTTCATCGGACATAACCTCAATGCGAATAAAACAAGTATTTCAAGATATTTGCAAATTATTTTGGCTGCGTATTCACGTACAGACGCGATATACTTCAGCAAAAATATTATAAATGAAAAATTATTATTACACAAATATGAACGCAGATTACCTCGTTAATGAACAATCAACTTTGCATAATATTTTGCGACCGAAATTTATTAGCTTTGTTTTATAGGCGTAGGTATCATCAACAAGATTACCACAACATTGCGAAGGGGTGAAATTATTTGATTGCAAACAATGTAGAAAAGCAATACATTTCATGAAAAATGTTTCTTGGGTGAAAAGCAAAACACGAAGTTGGACATAGCCTCAACATCGAAAAATCATTTACTTCAAAATATTTACAAATATTTAGAAATTAGCTTGACTTTTATTACGAACATTTGTAGAGAAGCACCATATATATCGTATGACCAAAATCAAGCTATAGCTGCACATAACCTCAATATTGAAAAATCATTTGCATAGTAGTGTTTACGATTTTTTTTTGACATTTACTCGATTTTCGCCCTAAATGTGTTGTCAGAATTACTTTGCCTAATACAGTCACTCGCCCATTTTCTCAATAGCGCACCCATAACGTACGCTAATTTTATGTAAATGCATAATTTTCATGAATGCATAATTTTTATTTTGCAGAATACTCGAACGTCAACGTGGTCCAAATTTAACAAATTTAATTTCTTTCCAAAGATTTTATTATTTTCGAAATACTTACGGAATACCACACCTTAGATTTTGTAAGAAAGGTGTGTCTAAGAACTAGGCCTGTCGGACCCAAGTCCGCTGTGGTTAATTATCTATCGATTTTCATCATGAAATATTAAAAACTAGATCTTTCTGGCATAAAAAGGCTTATTGTTCGTTAGAACCCTCATATGGGTTGTTTAATTAAAAAAATGAAACTACGTCGCTTCATATAAAAGACGCGTCTATCTCAAGTCTTTCTGGGTATTAAAATATCCGCAAAAACTTAATACGACAAGCGGCGTAGCGCATAAGCATAACATAACTTCATATTGAATGTGTTCGTTTACGTTGAATGTGATCGTTCGTGTTCTGATTGTGCATAGCAAACCAATATATTCCATCGAAGATATCATTCATTACTCATATACGACCTAATCAGACATAACCTCAAAATTGAAAAATCACTTATGTCAAAAGGCTTACAATATTATTGACATTTAATCGGGTTTCGTTATATATATATTTTGATAAGCAACCGATTTCAAATAAAATAAATTATACAATACGATCGTACATAACCTCAATATTCAAATACCGCTTCTATCGAAATATTTACAAAACTTTTGAAATTTAATTGATTCGAAATTGAACTGATACGATATTACCTGAGTTTAAAATCAAAATACTTGCATATCTTTTGAAATTTACTTACTTTCTGGCAAAGATGATTAATAGTAATATTTCTGAATTTCTCTTTGGCAAAAAAGGCTAAGAACTTGATGACTTTGCTATGAAATTATGCATAGACTTAATATAAGTATATTTTTATCATTAGTTTAAAAGAAGGAAAACAAAAAAAAAGAAAAAAAAAAAACAAATATAATATTGTTTCCCTTTTTAACAAACTTTTTAAAGAAATACCTCGAGATAATGGGAGGGAACTCGGTTACGCTTTAGTGATTGTCAAGTTCTATAAAATGTTTTGCGTATGGGTTAAAGAACCTGAACAAGCTGTACGAAAATTAAATTCAAAATAAGTATCTGGCAAATGTGTTCACTCAACAAGCGTTACATATGTTCATATTGAATGGAATTATATATATATATATTGTTGGATTTTCTTTTCGACAAAATCAACATTAAATTGTTTAACTGCAGTTGGTTGATTGCCACTCAAGCATAGCGAAACTCTACTCGAATACTTAAATATTTGTCGTCGTAAAGAAATGTGTGTGTGTGTTTTTTTTTAATTCTACCCAATAAAAGAACAATTTTATTATTATTTTTTCTGGCATTTTTTTTTTTTTTTTTTTTTATTTATTTTTTCTTTTTCTGCGTTTTCCAGCATAAGCAGCACAACCTTTGGAAACGTGATTTTGCAAACATTTTAAGGCTGCAATTACGTCTTAATCGATGTTTTCTGCATAAATTTACATAAGTGTAGGTGTGTTTGTATGTCGTCCATGACATGCTCTTCGCTTCTTGAGAATGCCGTCACAGCAATCAGCTTAAAATAGTATGTAACCATGTAAAACGGAAATTTTAATGATTTCGTGTCAATTACGCTCTCTGAGCGAAGGTTCATTGGTGTTAGCTTTTATTTTGTTTTTTTTTTTTTTTTCTTTCATTGCAAACAAATTGGATTAACAAATATATTCACTAGTGCGTTTACAAAGAATCGAGGATGTGTAAACAATATGAAAAAACTTAATTTTTTTGTTTTTTTTGTTTTTTCGTTAAGAAACTTTGTAGATTTGTGTACTCATGGAAGAATAAAAAAATTTCCTTATATTTGATGACGTGGTCAGGTCAAGGCTAGAGAAGAGGAAGAATAAACAAAAACCTTAATTACGTTCAGAGACAAATATTGATCGACGACTGTTCTTCGTAACAGTTAAGCAAGACATTTTCGCTGACAATTGAAAACCATTTTCTGTTTGAACTTTAA